AGAAAAAATAAATTGGACTTCATCAAAATTAAAACCTTTTGTGCTTCAAAAGACAAAGTGGATGTATTTTATACCCATTAGGATGGCTATAATAAAAATGACAGATGACAGCTAGTGTTGACAATAATATGGAGAAATCATAACCCTCATATCACTGCTGGTGGGAGTGTAAGATGATGCAGCTGCTTTGGGAGATAGTTTGGAAGTTCCTCAAAAAACTTAAGCATAGAGTTACCATATGAGCTAACAACTGCATTCCTAGGAGAAATGAAAACATATGCCCACAGAACAACTTACACATACATGAATGTTTGGAGCAGCATTATACATAATAGCCAAAAAGTGGAAGCAACCTAAATGTCCATCAACAGATGCATGGATAAACAAAATGGGGTGTGTATACATACAGTGGAATATTATTCGATGGAATAAAGTTCCAATACATGCTACACCATGCATAAACTTTGAAAACATGCTGAATGAAAGAAGCTGGTCACAGAAGACCACATATTGTATGATTCCATTTATATGAATTGTGTAGAATAGGCACATCTATAGGGACAGAAAATAGATCAGTGGTTGCCCAGAGCTGGGGTGGGGGTAGGAGGATGGGAAAATGGATATGGGGTTTCTTTCTGGAATGGTAAAAATATTCTAAAATTAAACTACAGGCCTGGCGTGGTGGCTCACGCCTGTAATCTTAGCACTCTGGGAGGCCGAGGTGGGCAGATTGCTCCAGGTCAGGAGTTTGAGACCAGCCTGAGCAAGAGGGAGACCCTGTCTCTACTAAAAATAGAAAGAAATTAATTGGCCAACTAAAAATACATAGAAAAAAATTTAGCCAGGCATGGTGGCACGTGCCTGTAGTCCCAGCTACTCAGAGGCTGAGTCAGGAGGATTGCTTTGAGCCCAGAAGTTTGAGGTTGCTGTGAGCTAGGCTGACGCTACAGCACTCTAGCCCGGGCAACAGAGTGAGACTCTGTCTCAAAAAAAAAAATTAAATTAAATTAAACTACAGTGATGGTTGTTCAACTTTGTGAAGGTATTAAATGTCATTAAATTCACTTGCTTTAAATAGGTGAATTATATGGTATGTGAATTATATTTTAATAAAGCGGTTAAAAAAAAAGAAGAATGACTCCTCTATTTTGCCCCAATATGTGAAAAAAATGGATTGAAGGAAATACAGCAATAAAGTAATAGTGGTTACCTCTCGATAGTAGAATGACAGGTGATTTTCTTCTATTTTTTGGTGTAAGCAGTGTTCATAACAGACATGTCTAATAAGGTGTGTCAATATTTACTAATGTGCATTATCAAAGAGACACTGAGGCAGAGCTAGTAAGTACTTAAGTAAGCTTTGGAGACAACAGATGAGGGTCACAGTCCTTGCTCCTGGCTGCTGCACAAAGCTTGCTCTAGTTCTGAGATCTTGGGCAAGTCACCTGGTGTCTCTGACCCTAGTTTCTTTCTCTGCACAAAGAATAGCATGATGATTTCTCCCTACTGGGTTGTTTTGAGCATGAACTAGGAGTTTGTATAAGTGCAGAGCACAATGCATGGCATATGGCAAACTCTCAGCAAATGCAGGCTAGTGACAGGAGTCAGAATAGGAGTGGTATTAGTACTAGTAGTAGTACTAATAGTAATAAGGGATCCGTAACACCAAAAATGGTTGTGAACCACCCCTGTCAGCCCGCAGCGTGGCTGCAAGGCCTTCTCTCTGCAGGTTGATCGGTTGTTGTACATGAAGAGGGTGGGAGGACACTTTGCTGGCTCCTAGGGCTTTGCAGAGAGTGATGAAAGAAGCATTGGTTTGGTTTTCTGGGCATTTTGAATTGTAATTCTGATTATTTTTTCCTCTAAGCTTAGGAAGCTCTTTCTCTGAGCTCTGTGGAAGCCCCTACAAAGAATATTTCTTTCTGTTTTGCTGCTATGTACTTTTCTGGATTTTAAAGTTTTTTTCAAATTAATAAAATACTATATTTTAATGCAAACTCTACATGCAAACTTCCCCTCTTTTGTCACCTATGTTTTACTACTCAGATGAATTGAAGGGATGATGGAATGAGGTAGTGATATTCTTTCAAATGTAGTGAACCAAGGCCTCCTCTGCTGAGAACCAGAACTTGAAATAAATTAGGTTTAGTTCAGTCTAGAGTATTAATTGGATTTAATTATTTATGAGATAAATGTCATAAGGGTCCATGATCCTTAAAAGAATTAATCACATTTCAAAGGGCATTGAGAACCATATAAATGCAATAAAGTTGCATAGTCTATTCATCAGCACATTACCTTAAAGTCCTGTGGAAGAAGTGGTCTATTTAACATTCTAGAAACTAATCCAGACTTTTGCATCAGACTTTGTACAATGTCATTGATTACCCATGGAGGAGAAACAAAGATTGGGCACATACTATAATGCAACACATATTTTATAAAGATATATGCATATTTAACAACGCATATATTAGATACACTGGTGGATAACTATCTGGAGGATGGAGGAGAATGGATAAAAATAAAATAAAATCATATAAAGCAAGAGAGGGGCTTTAATGGACTGATAATGTTAATTTCCTATGAATTGAGGAATGTGATTTACTCTCAGCACTTAAAGTTTAAAAAACAAAAACCTGGTCTTTTGACCAGGTCAGGATTCCCTTCTTTCCTAGAGCAAAGGAAAGTGATAAGTGCCACATTCTGCAGCTGTCAAGCTGACTTTAAAGGCCTGAGTTGTCCCAGAAGTAATAAATGTATCACCAAGAGGGGCGCAATGTCTTGTGCCTATAGTCCTAGCAACTCAGGAGGCACAGATGGGAGGATTGCTTAAGCCCAGGAGCTCAAGGCCATCCTGAGCAACATAGTGAGACCCCATCTTTAAAAAAATAATACTGTCACCAGTAATGAGCTATCTCAATATCATATACCCCCATGTAGGATGCATTGAGAACAACCAAACATGGTATTCTTGCTAAAAAATGTAACCTCAATGTAATTATATGACAAACCCAACAAAGGTACATTTTATAAAACAAGTTACCAGTACTTTTCAAAAGTATCAAGGTCATGAAAAACAGGGAAAGACTGAGGAAATGTCACAGATTGGAAGAGACTAAAGAGATATGATAACTAAATGCAATCTAAGATTAAATCCCAAAATAGAAAGAGGACATCCGTGGGAAAACTAGTGAAATTCTGTAAGTTCGTAGATTTTTTGCCATTGTACAATGTTAATCTTCAGGTTTTGATAATTGTACTGTAGTTATGTAAGTTGTTAACAGTAGGGAAGCTGGATAAAGATTATACAGGAACTCTCAGTGCTATTTTTGCAACTTACTTTAAGTCTAGGATTATTTCAAAATAAAAAGGTTTTTAAAAATATGGATATTTTTAAATGATGCCTTTTCTGGGAGTCAATTTTTGATCACTGATTCAATTTCTATAGTAGTTATTGGTCTATCTAGGTTTTGTATTACTTCTCTAGATAATTTTGGTAATTTGTATTTCTTAAAAGTTTTCCCTTTTAACTATGTGTTCAGAATTTGACATGGTATTCATTTATATTACCCTCTAATAAATTTTGCAATCTTTGCTGGGTTTATAGTTACATCACCCTTTTTATTATTAGCATTATTCATTCATGCTTCTCTTATGCTGTTTTCTCCTTTAATTAGGGCTGTGAGAAGTTGTCCTTTTTATTAACCTTTCAAATAATCTGTTTCAGTTTTATTAATCATTCTACTGTTTGTTTTCTATTTTCAGTAATTTCTGGTTTCATCTTCATTTTTTCTTCCTTCTGTTATTTTTAGTTCACTCTATTACTTTTGTTCTAACTTCTTAAATGGAATGCTTTGCTCATTAATTTGCCATTTTTCTTGTTTTCTAATGCAGGCAGTCATAAGGATATGTAGTCATCTTTCCTAGTTCTATTTGATATTTGACTGCATCACTCAACTTTTCATATGCAGGGTTTTATTGTTGTACAATTTTAAGGGTGATCATGTCTTTAACCCACAGATCTTTTGCAAAGGATCATTTGCCTTTTTATTTCTAAATATATGGGACTTGATATTATTTTATTATTATTAATTTTATTTTATTAAAACCTAGGCATTCTTGTAGTCTAGATAGTATCCTTGTCATTTGGCACAAGGGTCACAACACAATTTTAATAAGTACTGTACCTTTGCTGTTCACTCTTCCCTCCCAATGAATTATTGTTTGCCTAAAATGAGGAGAGTGTTTCAAAATGGAATATGCATAATTGACTGAATGACTGAAGGTTTCATCCTTGACTCATCCTCCCCACATCTTTCCATCAACTTTGTATACTAATGAAGAGAATTAAAGCACACCTTTAGCTTGATTTGTGATTCAATTCACAATCTTCAAACAAATTACAGCCAATAAAAGTTTTCAAATTAGCATCTCCTCTTTGGCACTTGCAGGTATCAATGACATTTGTGTGTGGATAGAGGTTATAGAGATTTGTGATTGTGCTGAAGAATGTAGGTCCAGAATCAGTACTTATTATTGCTGGTGTTAAAGTATGACAAGTAATATCCTGGTTAATTTATACATTCCCACTACCTGAAACACTGAGCTAAGCTGGAATCTGAAGACAAGGTCAGGAAAGTCACTCTTTAAAATGGAACTTAATGAAATTTAATATACAAAAGAAGGGGATTTTTGTAACATATATATCCTATTTTGTGATTTTGACTGTTCTTTCTAAGAGCCTGAGATGTCAGAACTAACAGCCCTAACTCGTACAGACTACAAAAAAAAAGTGGTAGTAGTAGTTATTCATCACAGCCTGAATTAGTCAGACAAACAGAACCAATAGCATATGTATATCTGTAGAGAGAGGTTTATTTTAAGGAATTGGTTCATGAGATTATAGAGGCCGGCAAGTCCAAAATCTGCAGCGTGGACTGGGAAACCCGGGGAAGTATGTGTCGCGCCCACCTCGCCAGCAAGGAAGACGCGGCAACTGGAGTTCTTCTGACCGTGCTTTATTGGGGGATCCCTTAGGCTACATTTTGCGGAAGACGCAGAAAAGGGGAAGGGCAGTTCCTTATATACACTGCAAAGCAGGAAACTCATATCATTGGTTACATTCGACACACAGGCGCAGAACTTGTTTACCAGCGGGAGAAGCAAGGGCGAGGCACCGGATATCAGCGCCATATTCTAATGGCGTTGTCACCGCGCCCCACAAGTATGGATGTTGTAGTTCAAGTCTGAAGGCCATCTGCTGGCAGAATTCCTTCTTGCTTGGGGAAGGTGGGACTTTGCACTGTGCAGGCCTTTGATGGATGGGATGAGGTCACATTATGGAGGGCAATCTGCTTTATTCAAAGCCCACCAATTTAAATGTTAATCTCATTCAAAGAACACCTTGATAGAAATAGCCAGCATAATGTTTGACCAAATATCTGGGCACATAGCCCATCCAAGTTGACACATAAAATTAACCATCACACTGTCCAGCAGGCAAGCGTTGTAGTAGGGGCTGCTGGTGTCCAAGAGGAAAAGTGGCCTTTGATTCCCAGCTGTGCTACTTCCTAGTTTCATGACCCTGGGCAGTTTAGTTAAGCTCTTGTAGCCTTAGATTCTTTCTACAACTAAGTATCAATAATAGAGTTGTGAAAATTATTCATATATAGTATCCAGGTCTCCTTGTAGATGCTCAGTAATTGTTTATTTCCCTCTGCTTCCTCGGGAAAGTGTTCGGCAGCAGCTGCCTCAATCTGAACAAAACAACTTTTTTTATTTTTAAGACAGGTTCTTACTCTGTCGCCTAGGCTGGAGTGCAGTGGTGCAATCATAGCTCACTGTAGCCTCAAACTCCTGGGCTCAAGTGATCCTCCTGCCTCAGCCTCCTGAGTAGCTGGGACTACAGGCACGTGCCAGCACCCTCAGCTAATCTTTATTTTAGTTTATCTTATTTTATTTTATTTTTTATGGTAGAAGCGCCTTTACTGGTTGCAACTCGAAGTGTAAGAGGAGTGGATAGGACAGCTCCTGCTCCTGGGGCAGCATCCGTAGACTCTGCTGCTGTCCTCCAATTTATTTTATTTTTATGTAGAGACAGGATCGCTCTATGTTGTCCAGGCTGGTCTTGAAGTCCTGGCCTCAAATAGTCCTCTTGCCTCGGCCCCCCAAAGTGCTGGCATTACAGGTGTGAGCCGCCATGCCCCGCTGAACCAAACTTCTTATGAGCTGATCCCACATCCTGGGCTCTGACACTGCTTACAAAGTGACATCTGGATTACTACTAATTCCATTTTCTATATATGGACATAAGAACTCTTATTGGAAAGGATCGTCCCATTGTTCATAAATACAATGGCATTGTTATTCATACATCAGTGCCTGGGTCAGAAATTGTTGGTACAAAAGAAATCCACTCTAAGAAACTCAGAAAGAGGGTTTGTTATCAAGACTAGGAGGAATCTCACAGAGACCTAATCGTAGGAAATAGCCTTTTCTCATTGGAAACCATAAAATGAGTTACCTGTTTCTGTCTCTCTCTGGAGACCTGTAATTCTCTTGGGCCTTTTTTTTTTGCTACATTCTATGTGTTTGCTCCCTTGTAGTTTGGGCCACAGGTGGTACTTCATGGACTCTCTGTTCTACCCTCTGCATACATGACCTTGCAGTCCCATGCACATGCCATCTAACCAATTCATGCTCTGTGTTTCTTACATCAAATTCTTGAGAGAATTTGACTGATGGCTAGCCAGCTCCCTTGGTCAGATTGTCTAATCAGCTGTGACTAAGTAGAAATGGGTCTCATAAGTGATACACTAATGTTTCCAGGAATGTGAATAAAAAATTCACACTGAAGCTGGGCACAGTAGCTCATGCCTGTAATCCCACTCTGGGAGGCCAAGGCAGGAGGATCGCTTGAGGCCAGGAATTCAAAGTTACAGAGAGCTACGATCACATCACTGCACTTGAGCCTGGGAGACAGAGTGAGACCCTGTCTCTAAGAGAAACAACAAACAAACAAACAAAAAACTAAAAGGGCAAGTTGGTTATGGAAGGCAAAGTAACCAACAGCTTATTTTCTAATGTGGTGGCCTAGCTGGGTCAGGCAGTGCGCCTCCAAGACCTGTGCCCTCTGCTCCTGCTCCCCTTGCCCAGAGTTTGCGCTTAGCTCCCAGTAATCCCCCAGACTCGTGCAGGCTGGCCTCCCCCGAGTGACAGGGGCCAGGGCTCCCATAGGCCTTTCTGCCTCAAATTCCTACAGACTTCTGGTTGCCATTTGACTGGCCACCGGAGCATCCTCAGTGCTCTTGACCACTCCATTATGTGACTTCCAACTGACCACTCCTCTTGCCCTTGACCACTCCATTATGTGACTTCCAACTGACCACTCCTCTTGCCCTTGACCACTCCATTATGTGACTTCCAACTGACCACTCCTCTTGCCCTTGACCACTCCATTATGTGACTTCCAACTGACCACTCCTCTTGCCCTTGACCACTCCATTATGTGACTTCCAACTGACCACTCCTCTTGACCTTGACCACTCCATTATGTGACTTCCAGCTGACCACTCCTCTTGCCCTTGACCACTCCATTATGTGACTTCCAACTGACCACTCCTCTTGACCTTGACCACTCCGTTATATGACTTCCAACTGACTGCTACAATGTCTGGAATGGACTGGACATTTCCTGTTGTCCTGCTCTTTGTATTTCCCATCTCCCTATCTCAGTGGCTTCCCTGCTATTTGACTCCTCGTCCCTCCACAGGCCCATGGATTTTGTCCATACTCACATTTCCCTCAGTGACCAGCTGGGGCTTCCTGAGGATGCTTCTGGCCCCGTGCTCTGCCCTATTCCTGGAGAGACCAACTCACAATCTTGGCTTTCTGAATTTGCACAGCCAAGAGACAGACGTGTGAGGTGGCCGGAGAGGACACGCCTAAAACAGCTTGTTTGCCTTCACCACTGCAGAACCCCCAAATGGAAGTGGCAGCAAAGCATCAGCCCAGCGTGCGAGTCGGCAGGCCTGCATCTTAATCTTGGCTCTTACGTCGACTAGCCTTGGGAAATCGGCCAAGTTTCTGACACTTAGTCCTGTAAAAGAATAATAATAATACTTAAGGCTTAGGGTTGCTAGAAAAACTAAGTGAATGCAAAGTAATCTGCACATAATGAAAAATGGTAGCAGTTTTTTTAAATCATTTTTATCAGTGTTCACAACATTTCCCAGTCCCTAGAAAACGGCAAAAGAGAAGGTGTTGCTGTACTACACAGCCAACTCCTCATTTTTGAGAAATAGGCTTTTCTTTCCACTCCGTCTCTTCTACAAGGTCACTGTCGTCTGGGGGCGGCAAAGAAGTGACAGATATATTTATAGCAGTTAGGGAAGCTATATTTTGGATTTGGAGAACTTCCCCCACCTAAAACCCTCTCCTGTAATAAAAGTTTCAAGTCCTTTCCTTGCAGCTTACCTTAATTTTTTTCTTAAACTACAGCAGCAATGTCACATTGAGGTTTCTTTCTCTGTGCAAACACCACTGTGCTAAAACATTACTTGTTACTAAATTTTGGTTGGAAGGAAAATTATTTCTAAGTCATTTTTCTATGTCCAAGAAGTATGCAGTAATTAAAACATTATTTGAAAACAGGAACAAGAAATAACTTATAGTATATGTGCAATCATTTCACTCTTCCATGAACTTACATATTTATGTGTTTGAATAAAACCTATGAATACTAACTGGCTCTTTATTCCAGTAAATGAGACTGTGGTGAGGAGTGAATTAGAGGAGGAAAGTGTGGGGCACATAATTGAAAAATAAGATGGAGCGATGGATTTTAGATGCATGTCTGCCACTGAATCATTTTGTGACTCTAACTAAGTACAACACTTCGTGCTCTGATTCCCACCTGGAAAATTATGATAATATAACTATCTGGAAAGTATGGCATCTTCTATTTTTTAAAAAGAGGAGAACATCAACAAGATTTTTGGCCTTTTGGATCCAAACTGGCAAATGTGCAAGAGTCTAAGAAATTAGAATCCTTGTAAACCTGAAACATTTTATCTTTAGGTAACAGAATTTGTAATATTTAAAGAAGCCACTTCAAATCTAGGGTTTCATCAAATTAATAGTAGTCATACATTATTTGGGCAAAGGAACGGATAAATAGGTAATTTATAAAAAATTAAACATATTTGGCCAAGAAACACATAAAAATTACCAACCTCATTAATAATATAAAAATTGCAAGTGCAACAACAAAGTAACATTTTTTTTACTTTCAAATTAGAAAAAAAATTAAATGGTCTGATGATACAAAGTCCAGTTTTGGCAAGGGTATGAGGAAATGAACGCACCATTGGTGAGAGTACTAGTTAGTACAGCATAGCATTTTTTAGAGCAATCTGGTAGTAGCTCTAAAAATTTTAACATGCATGCCTTTTGACCAAGAAATTCCACTTCAAGGAATCTGTCCTACCTAAATACATTATGCAAAGATGCATGTATGACAGTGTTTGTAATGGCATGGAAAAGACGCCTGAACATCCACTAGTACAAAGTGATTCAATGACTTATGGTACATCCATATTACCATCTGCCACTGTCAAAAGGAATGAAGTAAACACACATATACTGACAGGGTAGGGAGGGAGGACTATTCACTAAATATTGTTAAGTCATAAAAACAAGTTATAGAACAATATGGTAGTCTATGATCTCTTTTAATAAAAAGCTGTGTATGAAAGAATACTCGCTGAACTAGTAAGAGGAAGATTGCAAAAAGCTAAGGGGTGACTTTTCTTTTTTTACTTTATATACTTCTACATTATAATTTTTATAGCAAGTATAGATTACTTTTCTTGTTAAGATAATTTAAAATAGCATATAATTTTATATAGACATGCTTTTACAACTATCTCTTCCTCAGCTCACCCCCACACTACATCAGACCAACCTATTCTTTTGGGTTTCTCTTCTTGTTTTGGAAGACATTTTCATATAAACAACTGTTCCCTCTAATTATAAAAGAATATCTATTTATAATTGAAAACATTTGCAAAATACAGAAAAATAAAGAAAATAAAAACACTAATCTCACTTGCTAGAGATATAGTATACATATATTTTGCCATATTGTCCTCCAGTCTTTTTTCTATAAATTCTAAAACATTAAAATTATGGATACAGTATTATATGCTGATTTTTTCACCTAACATTTTATTATTAACATTTCTTTATGTTATTAACAACTTTTTGACATAAATTTTCAGTTATAGAATATATCATATTATGATGTTTCATTAATTATTTAATATTGAATACTTTGGTAGTTTCTAATTTTTTACTGTTATAAACTGTATGTGTATACATGCATAGATAGATAGATACATAGTCCATTATATCTCTGACTATTTCTTCAGGATAAATTTCTAGAAAAGGAAGAAGTATAAGATTGCCAGGAATGTTTTAAAGACTCTCAATATGCATTGCCAAATTGGCTTCCAGAAAGGCTGAATTAATTTGCATTCTTACCAGAAAAGGATCAGCCTGAATGAAGCTTTGGCCATCTTACTATGGCCAATGGTTTTATTTTTAATTTAAATAAATAATGAAAACAAACTTTGGCCTCTTTCCTAGGTAATTTTTTTTTCATTTTTAAAGCTTATATTTGGTTGTTAGTGTAGTTGAGAAAATTTAAATATATTATACTTTATTTTGTAGTTTAAAAAAGAATATTTTCCTCCATAGTCAAAAAGCATTACCATAGTTAACAAAATTGATACTAATGCCTCAATATTATCTAATATCTATTTCACAAATAAATTGCATTGATTGTCTCAAAACTGTCTTTTCTGGTTTGTTCAAAAAAAAATCCAACCCAAGACCATGCATTGTACCTAGCAGTTATGCTATGTCTCTTGAGATTATCTTAATCTATAGCTACTTCCTCTCTTTCTTTTTTCATGCACTAACTCTATGTTGCCTACAGAATGTTTTATTTTTCAGGATTTGTCTGGTTGCTTTATTGTAGGGCCGTTCACCTTCATCACCTATTCCCTGTAATTGTTTTTTTTTTTTTTTTGAGACAGAATCTCACTCTGTTGCCCAGGATGGAGTGCTGTGGCATCAGCCTAGCTCACAGCAACCTCCAACTCCTGGGCTCAAGCAATCCTCCTGCCTCAGCCTCCTGAATAGCTAGGACTACAGGTATGTGCTGCCATGCCTGGCTAAATACATATATATATTTTTTTCTTTCTTTCTTTTTTTTTTTTAGTTGTCCAGTGAATTTCTTTCTATTTTTAGTAGAGATGGGGTCTCGCTTTTGCTCAGGCTGGTCTTGAACTCCTGAGCTCAAACGATCCTCCCTCCTTGGCTTTCCAGACTGCTAGGATTACAGGCATGAGTCACTGTGCCCTGTAATTTTTGTAAATGGGGAGCTAGCTGTAAAGACGCGATAGATCAAGTTAAACATGTTTGGGAGAAATACATCACAGCTGATGTGTAGACTTGTTATTGTGTCCCATTAGGAGACTGAACCATACCTAACATCTCATTGGTCAGTCATTAGGGATGTTGAAGTTGATCCCTGGATTATGTGGTGGCAACCTGCTTCCTCCACTGTGCAGGTGGGTTTCCCCCTTTGGACTGGACAGTAACCTGTGAGATAACTTTGGCACTATGAGAATGTCATTTGTCCATCTACCATTCATCTGACGACTTTGGCATCAAGTTCATTTCTATCTAAATTAATATTTTTGTTCAGGCTTGAAAATGATGATTTTCTAATTGTATCCTTCCTTCTGTTATATTTATTTCTTATTATTCTAGTAAATAAGGCTTTCCCTTCTCCATCGAGACTACTTTGTTTACTCTGAAATATAGCTGCCACTAGAAAAGCAGGATATTTAATTTTTTCCCCTTTAATTATCATTTAAATGTTTGTTGGCCACTTAGAGTTCTTTTGTAAACTGTCTTTTCAGGTCCTTTGCCTATTTGCAATGGGACTGTTCCTCATTCTCTTATTCATATGTTGGCATTCTTTGTCATATGTGGTATATAGCTCCCTCGGTTTTTTGTTTGAATTTTAATTTTGTTCACTTTTTTCACGTATGAATGTTTTATACTTTTATTTAGCCTGGCCTATTATCTTTTTCATTGTGGGCTCTTCATTTCTTTCATGGTTAGAAACTCTTTTTATCCCAAAGCCAGATCCACCTTTATTTTCTTATAGCTATCTTATAATTGTTTTACAATTGGATTTTTTTTACAATTATAGAATATGCTTATTTCAGAAACACCAGCCCAATCTTAGTATTTCTCTGCTGAAAATCATTTGGTGTCTTCCCATTACCTGCAGGATAAAATTCAAACTTGACAGCTTGGTGTGATATTAGGTCCTTCATGTCTGGCCCTTCTTTTGACTTCATTTCCCATCTACACTTGCAGCAATAGCAGACCACTTGCAGTTCCCTGAATAGTTAACGTTGTTCTCTGTGCCTATGCCATTACAACTGTGAATTCTCTTCTCCATTCTCTCTCAAACGTCACCTCATTTTGTAACAAGTTTTGCATGTTTCTCTCCAGCTCAGTCCCTTTGTAATCCTCCCAGAGCCTTTTGGTCGAGTTTTTACTGACATTTATCTCATTTGATTGTTGTCTTAGTCTGTTTATGCCGTTAGAACAATATACCCAAGACTGGGTAATTTATAACAGAAACATTTTTCACAGTTCCACAGGCTGGGAAGTCCAAGGTCGGGGTGCAGCAGGTTTGGAGTCTGATGAAAGCCTGTCCTCTACTTCCAAGATGGCCCCTTGATGCCGTGTCCTCTGGAAGGGACAAACGCAGTGTCTTCACATGGTGGAAGAGCAGAAGAGAGCAAACCACTCCCTCAAGACCTTTTATGAGGGCCCGCATGATTTAATCACATCCTAAAGGTACCATCTCTTAATACTATTACATTGGCAATTAAGTTTCAACGTATGAATTTTGAAGGACTAGTTCAGACTGTAGCAGTTGTCACTGTCTTTATACATGTGTCTCTCCCATCCTGACTGTGAGTGCCTTAAAGGAGGGGACCAGATCATATT